TACTAATCATGACTTACCTCCATGCCAAATATGAAGACTATGGGTCAAAGGAATCTTAAGTTATTGGGCAGACAACCTTTTTGAAGTCAAGGCCCCTGTGACCTTGACCTTTGACCTAGTGACCTCAAAATCAATAGGAGTCATCTACTAATCATGACTTACCTCCATGCCAAATATGACGACTGTAGGTCAAAGGAATCTTAAGTTATTGGGCGGACAAGCTTTTTGAAGTCAAGGCCCCTGTGACCTTGACCTTTGACCTGGTGACCTCAAAATCAATAGGGGTCATCTACTAATCATGACTAACCTCCATGCCAAATATGACGACTGTAGGTCAAAGGAATCTTAAGTTATTGGGCGGACAAGCTTTTTGAAGTCAAGGCCCCTGTGACCTTGACCTTTGACCTGGTGACCTCAAAATCAATAGGGGTCATCTACTAATCATGACTAACCTCCATGCCAAATATGAAGACTGTAGGTCAAAGGAATCTTAAGTTATTGGGCGGACAAGAAAAAACCGACGGATGGACGGACGGCCGGATGGACGGCCGGACGGACAAGCTGATTCCAGTATACCCCCCTTACAACTTTGTTGTGCGGGGGTATAATAAGCTGAAAATCAATTAAGATACATGATTACTTGATATATCAATGTACTATTATATGTCAACAATATCAATCATCCAATAACAATATATTGATTACATTTGTATATATCGTTTTAACAGAATCAGTCATGTGCTCCCAATTTTTTCAGACTAATTCTTATCATTAGACAACCAATCGTACCTATATATACAAGAACATTGTAGTTTTAAACCTATTAAGGTTGCCTTTGGACAGATTGTATCTAAAAATAAACTGGTTTTCCCCCTATAACTGAATAAAACTCTATCACTCTACAAATTTTATCAGTAAATCACTTCAACCAAAAAATTCGGAACAAAATCAATAGCAAAAAAACAAACAAGAGGTGACGGGATATCTTTAGTAAAGAAGCGTTTTACCTGCTTACAGTTCGTCTAAGTTTTCTGTAGCGATAAATCCACAACATATTCTTAAAATTATGAAATCATTCAGACCATGTGTATAATGTTTCTAAGGTACACAGTCGTATAATATTGACATAATGAAGAAATTGTAATAAAATTTCAGTACACACAAAACGTTTTAATATGTTAAACTACAATAAGTATTATAACTATATCAAATTTATCCGCATGGTATTTTTCTGCTTTAAAAATAGCGCAATCTATTAAATCAATCAATGTTTAACAGGCTTGCAGCAATCATATACATTATAAATATGCTAGCCTAGTTGGCAGTACATAAATAATAGTAAACATCTATTTTTAGACGCTTTTTTTTTAAGTAAAAAGAACAGTCAAGCATGTCCACTTGGGTGTAAATTCCCGATATTGATCATAAAGTAAATACTTTTTCAAGGCTAAAGCAAATCATTGTGTTGATTCTTTGTGTTTCAAATTTCTATCATAGGATTTGCAAGGGCTTTTTTACTTGGTTTAAATATTTGCAGATTAAGATCAGACACAATTAAATAGTTGATGGCAAGCACAGTCATGAATGAGAAATACAGTCAACACTGTAAAAAAGGACTGCCAAAAAGAAAAAAATATGACTTGAAATATATTTGCTGGGGTCGGTGATTTTTGCCCCTATATTTTACAGCTGAATAAAGGCAGTTTCCCCTAGAGCTAGCCCCTGCTGCTTGCCCAAAATAGGTAAAATAGGTAAATTGTCTGACAGTTAAAAATGCTATATTTTTCCCTGAAATGCTCTGTGCATATTCTTCACCAGAACCATGACTTAAGCAGCAGCCGACTTACATGTAGATCAGCCAGTTGTTATATATAATTGACTGAAAGACAGAAAGCTGTCCCTATACACATGTCACATAAAAACCAGAGGTTTTCAGACGGGACTGAAAATAAATTTTCAAGATTAATGTTCCATTTGATCGACAGATGCTTTTCACGTAAATCGGGATAAAACTATCATTAAAATTATGATTTCCAATTCACATCTGAGAATATTTCTTAATTATCTTTTGTACATCTTTCCCAGTGCAGTGTTTTTTTTTCTCTATATAACTACTACCCTAAAGCGGTACTGTTCCAATAGAAAATAGACATTAAAATTCCCAATTTCCAATGTTTAAATTCCCAAAATAACTGTTCAAAATTTCCACAAGGCAAAGTGATTTCTCTGAAATCATTTAAATCCAACATATTCATATAAATCATCACTCAATGGTTCTACCTGGACATTGGAAGCTGTTAGCTATCTTTATTCATGATGACTAATCTTATTAATTTTGTAGCTGAAAAAATGCATAAAAAAATTCCCAATTTAAGTCAAAATAATGCATTTTTTTCCCAATCAGTCTGGTACCGGCACCATTCCCAAAGTAGAGAAAAAAACACTGCAGTGTCCCGACTGGTCTATGTAAAAAATTAAAATTTTATGTTTTTAGGCCTTTTTGACCTCAGTGGAGTTCCTTTAATGTCATGAGTTTCTAGAAAGTGATAATTATACTGATTAAATACAACAATAACTTCAAAGACAGTCATATTAGTACACAACATCTCTAAAAGCAAGAAATTTTCTTATTTCACAAATGAATATAATAAACTTCAGAATTCAGTTACAGGTCTTGTATACTGGCAAAGATGCATGTACATGTTAAATCAACACTTGTGGAGAAAAAACATAATGTTGTGAAAAACTATAACAACAAAAATACAAAAATAACTACAACATTTTGTTAAAAGGCATACTGTATATAGCACTATAGCCAGTGAAAAATAAATTATATATAACATACAAAATGAAAAACATGGAAATGGTACAATGATATACATAAAATGTATATAAAAGAAGACGTTTCCCAGATGGAGATTTAATTTTGCAGAAATATCAACCAATAATGTATACATGTAATTTGATACAAATTCAGCAAGAATTATGATCCTTGGACAGTGACCTACAATTTTGATTCAATTAACATTTAATAAAGAGTATTAATTCCAGTAAATACCTTCTGACACTGGTTGTATGGGCTAAGTTTTGCATCCAAAATTTAACCTTTATCATGCTGCCAGGAACCAAAGGTGATTAGCCTGTGCCATTAGTATGGAGCCAGGAACCAGGCTCTATATGTTTGGGTTAAGCTCAGTTTTTTGGTGTTTTTTTTTTTTTGTATTTTGATAAACTTTGAATGGACTTTTCCAAATTCAAAACTGGGTCAAGGCAATTCCATTGTGACCTTCAGAAGTTGGTAAAGATTCAACTTCCATGCAAAAATTGACCAAGAATTTCATTACTTCAAAAAAGGCTTTAATTATATATATAGTTAATAGAACTCCAATTAATTATTATGATCTAAAAGACATGCATGAATATGAAGAATCAAGCAAAGACAGCAAGTGGTTTATGAGACATGAAGTTTTAAATTAAGTTGCAGGTAAAATTTTTACCAGAGTTATATATTAATGCCTCAGAAATAAATAAATATTTCTTTAGAAAGGTCAAACGTTTTATAATGTTTAAATAATGGTTCTAGAGCATATTAAATGTCTGTTACATGAAGAAAATATGCCTAATATGTGATGAAAGTAGCAAAATGTAAATAAAGTGCTGTTTTGACTTCCCTACAAAATACTATAAATGTGCTTACTGCAAAAAAGCAACAAAACAAGTAAGACTGCATTTCAAGTAATTGGCCAATGAGTAACTTGTTGGAAATTATAAAATACCAAAAATAAAAAGATTTTGAGAAATAAAGACAAGGCAGCCTGAAGGACAGCCAATTATTGCGTTCTACACAGTTTTTGGTTGTACAAAATGTACACTTTTAACCACTTGACCTTTAAGTGTGACCTTGACCTATTAGGTAGCCACCCAATTATTATGCTATGCACATTGTCCAATAATGGTGATCAATTGTGCCAAATATCAATTTAAAAAAATTCAGCAGTTTAAATAAAATGAAGCAGACATGAAAGTGTTACAGACAGAAAGATGGCCTGCAGATTGATAGATAGACGGACTAACTGACAGACAGAGGCCATTCCTATAATTCCCTCCCAGCTTTGCTAAGCGGATTAAATTCTAAAATCTTTGAATTGTTAATAAGTTATAGAGGGAACATGAAAAATAGATGTTTTAACATTGGACCTTTGAGTGTGGGCATGACCATGAGGGTAATTGTCTTGATTGTTGAGCTCTGCAGATGATGACATAATGGTGATCATTTTTGCCAAGTTGAAGCTATCTTAAAAACATTGCAAGAAGCAGTTTAAATGTTATAGAGCGAACATTAAATGTAGACTATTTAACACTTGACCTTTAAATGTGGCCTTGACCTCGAGGATAGCAACCCAATTATTGTGCTCTGCACATCATCTCATGATGGTGATCCCTTGTGACAAGTCATTTCAAAATTTTTACAGCAATTGAAAATTTATGGAGTGGACAAGAAAGTGTTACCGACAGACAACCAAATTGGGATAAAGACCCATTTCTATTGTTATTTTCTTTTGTTTAAAAGAGGGCCATTGACCCCTTCCTCTATTTTTACAGAATGAACTCTTTTGTTCTCTTTTGTTCTGTTTACAGTAAGATGGCCCTCTAACCCTATCTTGTAGAGCGTACTGACAGACAGAGGCCATTCCTGTAATTCCCCCCCCCTGCTTTGTGGAGGGGATTAATGTAGGCATTTTTGGGGAATAATGAGCCTTTAATGCATGATATGGGTACAAATGTAGGTAGGATAGCATGACTACAATGTATGATAGATCTTACAATTCTTGCTACTATAAATACTATACTATACTCTATAGGAAAAGGGTCTAAAAAGAGTAATACACGCACATACATTTAAGTATATCATCATTACAGAAGAGTTATGCACACACCTACACAATATAGGGTTAAATATGTCATAATTAATTTACAACACTCAAGAACACTTTACTTACCTATTAGAACACCTGGTGCTTGACAGAAGCATCACTTGTCATGCATTTATCTAAAAGCCAAGAAACACAATGAAAGACAATGATATTTTCTTAAATTTGGTACAAAACCATTTAAATCTATACAGTCTAAATATTACATTGTACATAATTTTTGATTCTATCAATTATTAATAATATATAAATAACTTTTTGAATCAGGGTCAGCTCAGGCCTATAACGTGATATTGGTTTGTATTATCACTCAATATTGTCGGAGTAATCAAAATATTTTAGTTTTCTAAAATTATTATCATCCGCTTTAATGTTTTTTTAAGAGGGCCGAGTTGACCCGTGCCGAGTTGACCCGTGCCGAGTTGACTCTTTACCTAACTTTAAGTCAAGTTCTAAAGCAAGAGGGAGTTGACCTAAGATTAATCACTCATCTGATGATTATATGGTTAATTTAATGAATGACACATTTAAATCTGAAAATGTGAAGTTAAATATGAACGATATGATTATTTCAACTGACTTCCCCGTTCATTGACTTTGCCTAATTTCATATTACTCAGATCTATCATATAGAGTAAGACAGGGTCTTTCAAATAGGTTTTAAGCACAGGAACTTGAAATTCTATCAATTACCAATATTAATTAAAATATCCAAATATACCCCCTATTACTATATACCATAAAAAAACACAAGGAATGAAACGCCTTTTCCCCACCCCAACATAATTTACGCCGAACAAATCAACAAAACAACGGATCAAAATATTCTATCTGGCCATTTCGATAATCAATACATAAATGCATCAAATACCACCGATAACTTTTTAAAATCGTGTAGCTGTGTAGGAATAATTCAACATTTTCTGATTATTTCCCGCGATCTGAGTTTGTCGCCGACTCCATTCCGTGACGTCACTGGATTTTGAATCGAGGAGAATAATATTTACTAAAATTATTTTTAATAAGTTCCAAAAAATAACAGGTATGTATAAAACTTTTATAGAAATTATTCTATGTAAATAGATTTAAACATCTTCATGTAAAACCTTTTTAACAAATTACTTTTATAAATACATTTGAAAGGGAAACCCCAAACAAGAACGGTAAATCTTTGAAATTGTACTTTCGTTTTAAAAAAAAATTGAGTACTCTATTTGATATGACCCTGAAAATAAATTCAGCCCTGTCGTAAGAAATAAATCAGTCATTTGTTCTAGTTTGACAGTATTTTACTTGCAAACTTGTTATTTTTGGAACTTGTTAAAAATAATTTTGATAAATTTATATTATTCTCCTCGAATCAACATCCAGTGACGTCACAGAATGGAGTCGGCGACAAACTCAGATTGTGGGAAATAATCAGAAAATGTTGAATTATTCCTACATAGCTACAAAATTAAAAAAGTTATCGGTGGTATTTGATGCATTTATGCATTGATTATCGAAATGGCCAGATAGATTTAATATTTTGATCCATTGTTTTGTTGATTTTTTCGGCGTAAATAATGTTGGGGTTGGGAAAAGGCGTTTCATTCCATGTGTTTTTTTATAGTATATAGGGGTAAGGCCCCCACGATTACACGTTTAAACGGATTCGTTTCGATTTTCATTCATAAACGTTTACGATATTGTTTACCGTTTAATCGAAATGACCATAATTATTGTCTTGCAAAATTTCTTAATCATTGCCTGTAATCATGGATTTTATCAATTCTAGTGGTTTATTCCAAATAAACAAACGGAAAATAGGTGTTCACAACCCTCCACACAGCATTACGGTGCAAAGTTGCTCGTGACATAAAACATTTTTGGTAAAAAATGGGGTTACAATGCAAAAATGTGTGCTGACTCAATCGTGATGAGCCCTGCGCATTCTTTATTTGTACATGTGTAAAAATTAGAAAAAAGACATCATTTGGCGACTCAAATACATGATGTGTATAGTACATAAAGGTACCACCGTTTAAACGGTATCGTTTCGGTTCTTAGCAATCGTGTAAACGTTTACAAAAAATTGTAAACGTGGGAGCCTTATATAGGGGGTACATTTTGCATATAATCGTTTATTATTAGTGATAGAATTTCAAGTTCCTGGGCTGTGGTTTGGTTAGCTTAAGGTCTTCAGCGTACCCGTTTATATACTATGACATGACGTGAACGCTGAAGATAATCCCGTAGGGAAAGTCCACCAATAATCGTGCCAGGAATCTGACACGCTCGTATTTATTCATCGAACATGCCATGAAGTAAAGTGAAGCATACCTTGATAAAACTATATTTAATTTATTGATAAGCAAAGGATGGACAAATAAAAATCTTATTAGGAACATAAACTACCTAATAGTTTCCGACAGGTAAAAATTTCGGCACTTGGCCGCCATATTGCCAAAATGTTTGACCACGTGATAACGAGATTGACCTTTATGAACCCATGTGCCTCCAATATTTTTATAGATTACTTTTTTTAAAGATATGGAAAAAGGTGATTTACTGACTTTTATATTCAATAAAATCATATTTAAGTACTAAAAATTTATAAAAATAAATAAGAACATTATCTTGAATAAAAATATCGAAATCATGTCAACAAAATGTTCTAAAAATAGCACACGACTCTATTCAAATCTGTTCCCGCCAATGACGTCATACGAGGTCTCGCGTGGCACCTGAATGTCATGGCCGACTGTAGTCGGCGTAAATTGATGTTTTACAGTTAAATAGGCAATTTTAATGTCAGTAGTAATATTTTGATACTTTCATTGGTATAGAACGATATTAAAATAATTGTTTTATCGTAAAATGCACAATAATTGATTGGGTCAAGTGTATTTGCAAGTGAAAAACAAGAATAAATCAACTTATGTTATTCTGGTTAGGTTTCGTAACGGGTCTAATCCAAAACTTTAATGCCGCATCAAATGAAAAACAAAAATGTTAAAGAGCGGCTTATAAAGTTTTGGAAGCCAGAACTATGGATTGGTAAGTTTGACTAAACAGTGCTAAAAAACATTTCTTTGCCTCCAAATATAAATTGAAAGACTTAAATGAAAGACGAACAGTTGCCACTTTAGATAGCTTCTTCTGTACTTTGCTTGTAAAAACACGGCTTGATTTGTTTAGTTTATAAATGTATGCGCCACAGCGTGTCGTTTGGGCCGAGCTGTCCCGAGTTCGTACAGGGCCGAGATAACTCAGCTGCTCAGGACCCAGAGTTTCGTTTTAATTCATCACAGGTATACATGAATTCATAACATCTACTGAACAATATCTTCTATTACATAACATCTATATGAAAATTACCTGTCAAAATTATTTACACGGATAATTATCCGTTATTTATAAATTATGTTATCTTGCCAATCCTGAATCAGAATGTGCATGTAATTTTATTTATTCGTGAGAATTACACTCCAATGTGTTGGGACTTCTAAAGGTTAGTAAAATTGCTGAAAAAGGTTGAATATATGCATATTGATGTAAAGTCAATAAGTTTTATGTATCTCGATTTTATTTTGAGAAAATTGCATAACACATTGTAGAATTATCCTAGGCTCTGATCAGCTGATGGAAAAAAATGTGATGTGTAATGGTTCAAGGACTCTATATTAGGCCTTTAGGGTCAGTAAATCATAAAATGTGACCAAAAATAGGTCCAGACCAAACAAAACATGTGACAACCCAGTGTATGGAAGGGCTAAGTCCTTTTTTAGAGATTCATTTTCTAGATTTATAGGGATCTATTAAAATATCATTATCTGTATCATGGTGTGACAAGTTGAAGTTGTGCACACCGCCTTGTTGTGAAGGTGTGACATTAAAAAAAGAATTGTGGTACCGTTTTGTGCCATATATGCCTTTTTCAGCCCCTCTTATCATACTTTCTTTACTTAAGTTCATGTTTAGTCAACATAATATGCTGGCGTGCCAAATCTTAAGATACTTGAAGTACTTATTATCAGGGCTGCAGATAACATTTTGTGTATATTGGGTAAATACCCCTTGTTTTGTGATCTATTGGGTTTTTTCTATTTTCTTTGAGTTATTTCTGTATTTTTTACCCTACCCCCTCTAACCAATTTGGGTTATAAAGCACGAGTTCATGTATTTTACCCAAAATTTCTGACCTTCATTGTATAGACTGTTGTAGGTTTTGTATGGTTATAAAAAAGCTACTTACTACTTTGCTTTATGGTTCATTGGCCTAGGAGATTTCCAAGCTGCCTGATATAATATAAAGGTTAAATCAGTCTGAAACAGTATGATCTGCCTGATGTACGCGTTAAGTATAATTTACGTCATAACACACCAGTTCAAATGTACATTGTAGTTTGCATAAATAAGAATTTATTTACTTTTTATTACCCTTAGATATTATTTCTATTGGGTTTTTAGACATTTTAATTGGGCAATAACGCAAATACGCATGTTATCTGCAGCCCTGTATTATCAAATGAGATATTTGTTTTGTATTGGCAACATCTCACCTCTTGAAGCAAGATTCTGACCATGAACCAAAATCTAGCTTTGCCATGTCAATATATTTTAACTACAGGTGGTTGTATTGTTTATATACTGTAAAATCATTATTATTCGTGGGGCACAAACTTTCGTGGTTTTCGTGGGTAGGTCAATCCACGAATTTAAGATCCGACGAAATTTTATCCCAACAATTACTTCTAACCATGTCTCTAGTCTATACATGCGTCGCCGCTTTTCCGTCGATTATTGTGTTATGATGGTATACAGATAATCAGATTAGTGGCAGATTAAATCTATAAATAGTTAAGGTTTGCAATATTTAAAAAACTTGAAAGCAAAGTCGACTATATGTCCTGAATTTCGGTCGTATATACACATCACTGAGACTGCTTAATTGTTTTAGGCTACTTGATTGTGTAATCCAGAATACTTGACATAATCGAGTAAAAATGGGAAACCAGTGCAATAATTAGCGCTAATGTAAATTGTCAGTTTGCTCTCATTAATTGTTAATAGAATTAAAGAAATCTTTGATATTAATGACGTAAGGAAAGTACACAAAAAATAATAAACAATCACTAAAACGGATGTATTGTACATCGTTTTGTCGTTTTAAATGATCCAGTTTAAATCTTAATCTGTAATTGTGCGACTGCTATTCCGTAAACATCAAAGACGCTGCCGACTTCTTAATATATCCACACAATCTCGTATTATTCACTCATATTAATTTATATGCATGTAAATTTACACAGTCGATGTTATGTTGCGTGTAGTTACTGTCAAATATAGTAAGACCGATTCAGGGTGTAAACTTGCTGGTTTAAACGTGTCAGGGGTCGTATAAATTATGCAATGTTACATCGGCGAATCACAGGGGCAGTGTGTAGAATGGAGCTGCATATCATGTCATCTAGATGTGTTAATTGCAGTCAATTATCGGCAGTAACTGCTATCTTTATGTTATGCCTAGAGGCAAGGATTAGATTATTGACAAGCGTTGTGTGAAACGTAAAGATATGTTCACGCGGTAAGTAAAAATGCGCGACGGTTATTATTTTTTTTTTACTAGAAAATGAAAATCCACGAATTTAAGAACCCACGAAAAGGCCCGTTTTGATAAAACCACGAAATTTCATGCCCACGAATATAAGTGAATTCGCAGTATATGATATTTCTTCTTAATCAGGCCTTTTTTCCCCTATCCCACGGGTCCAAATATTGGCCCCATCCTTCATCCAAATTATGTTTTTTTCCCAATCCAATAAAAAAATTCCCAATCTAAAAGTCAGCAATTTGAAAGACGTGGTACTTTATTTTCAATTTTGGTGTCACGAAATAGCGTAACGGAATATATTAATGTTTTGTGAATAAAACAGGATTTTTAATTGATATCAGTTTTACATTTGTATATATTTTCTGTCCTTGTATTTTTGATATGACAGAAAAACCTGAACAGTTTAAGTAAGATTTGTTAAGATTTATTATGCCACCGCAGCATCTGCGATGCGGTGGCATATAGCGATTCACCTGTGTGTGTGTGTGTTTGTTTGTGTGTGTGTGTGTGTGTGTGTTATATAGATTATATAGTGAACTTAAAAAATCTTCTTGTGAAAAACCAGTAGTCCAATTTCAACCAAACTTGGCAGGATTGATCCTTGGGTGAAGGGCTTCCAAAGTTGTTCAAAGAACTTCATTCCATGCAGAAATCTGGTTGCCATGGCAACAAAAAGGAATTATAAGAACAAATTTAAAAAATCTTCTTGTAAAGACCCAAAAGGCCTAGAGCTTAGATATTTTGCATAAGGCATTGTCTGGTAGACCTCTACCAAGGTTGTTCAAATTATAGCCCTGGGGTCAAAATCGGCCCCGCCCGGGGTCATTGATTTTCACTATATGTACATATAGTAAAAACTTAAAATACCTTATTGTAAAGACCCAAATAGCCTAGAGCTTAAATATTTTGCATAAGGCATTGTCTGGTAGACCTCTACCAACATTGTTCAAATTATAGCCCTGGGGTCAAAATAGGCCCCGCCCCGGGTCATTGTTATATAGATTATATAGTGAACGTAAAAAATCTTCTTGTGAAAAACCAATAGTCCAATTTCAACCAAACTTGGCAGGATTGATCCTTGGGTGAAGGGCTTCCAAAGTTGTTCAAAGAATTTCATTCCATGCAGAAATCTGGTTGCCATGGCAACCAAAAGGAATTATAAGAATAAATTTAAAAAATCTTCTTGTAAAGACCCAAAAGGCCTAGAGCTTAGATATTTTGCATAAGGCATTGTCTGGTAGACCTCTACCAAGATTGTTCAAATTATAGCCCTGGGGTCAAAATCGGCCCCGCCCCGGGGTCATTGATTTTCACTATATGTACATATAGTAAAAACTTAAAATACCTTATTGTAAAGACCCAAATAGCCTAGAGCTTAGATATTTTGCATAAGGCATTGTCTGGTAGACCTCTACCAACATTGTTCAAATTATAGCCCTGGGGTCAAAATCGGCCCTGCCCCGGGGGTCATTGGTTTTCGTTATATGTATATAGTAAAAACTTTAAAAAAATTTCTTCTAGCAATTGACAAATGCTAGAGGTTAGATATTTTGCATGAAACATTGTGTAGTGAACCTCTAGCAAGATTGTTCAAATTATAGCCCTGGGGTCAAAATTGCCCCCGCCCCGGGGGTCATTGATTTTCAATATATACATATAGTAAAAAATAAAAAAATCTTATTGTCTGTAGGTACAAGGTACAAGGCTTCAAAAACTTAAAATACCTTCTTGTAAATGCCCAAAAGGCCTAGAGCTTAGGTATTAATGCGGTGGCATAGCATTTTTCTCAAATGCAATCTTGTTTTAACAATTGTAACACCTTGAATGCTAGCATATTTTCCCAAATTGGCAAATTTCACGATAAGTTTTTTCCTAAATTGGAAAATTTTATGACACATATTTCCCAAATTCGCCATGAGGCGTTCTCCCAAAATGGAAGAAAAAAGGCCTGTTAATACCAATTTATTTTAACTCACACCTACAGTACCAAATTTTAGCTTAACCTTTAACAGCATGAGCATATTGTGTAAAATGGCCATTTTCATTGAAAAGCCTCCTGTTACAAGTTCGAACTGCTACATGTATGAAACAATGAAAAATGCTTTAATACAGGACCATAAACTTTATAACAGCGTGCTTAGTCGTAAAATTCCTGTTACTATGGCAACGTGGGACGTCTCAAAATTGCCAAAAGTCACTCTTTTGCATTGTCCATCAAAACTGATTTAAAGTGCTGCAACTTCTAAATGGAATGAAATAGAGTAAAAGGTTTTTCAGCGTTGGATATATGTTACCTTAAGGTCGACCTTAGGCTAGTTTTTGCTTTCGAATGCCCAAAATTTTCTTGGCAATGAGGGGTGCACCCCCCTTCAAACCCCCAATCAGAAGGGGACACATCATCCCCCTTGACATACCTTTTTGATGGGGGCGGTAAAATTGATCACTTTTTTCAATAGCATTTCTCAAACAAAAAGCAGTGTTTGAGGGATTTTCTCACTATTTAAGGCCTCAAAAAGGGGAGGGGGTGAAAAGCTGAAGAGGCATCTATATGAGGTAAAAGGTTAAAAAAAAAAACCTGTTACAAGTTTATAAGTAAGAAAAAATATTTTTAAAATTAGTGAGTAAAAATAGGTCTAAATGCAAAAATCTACATTTTTAAGTCAAATCAAAACTTTAAAAAATAATAAAATTAAGGTGAGTCTGGTGTTGTGAACTATTTTTCGAAAACAAATATCTGGAGCTCTGAAAAGATTGACCTAGAAAGTAAAGTATTTCAAAATTAAATTATTTTCAGCATGGGAAATCTATTATATAAAAACAACTTGGAAGTAGTGTTAAAATTTATTGATGCAAAAATTGTTTCATTTAACAAGGATGATTTCTCAAAGAATAAATTTGTGACCCTCTAAAATAAATTTTCCTGTTTAGTGCATGTACATACAGGTAGGCTGAGGTAGCATTTACATATGCATATAGTTCTTTAGCTTTGAAAAGAACGTACCTATTTTACCAATATCCTTTTTTTACAGGTAGGACAAGTCAAAGATGAACATTTTGTGTAGAAGGCTGTGTTTACAATGCAACAAGTCTGTGAGGAGACTGGAGGGATTCAAAGGTAATTAAGCATAAAAATCCCATTGCCACTGGCCAGTCTGCACACCTGAGCCAATCTGTGCAGTCTGACCAGGTCCTTTTGTTGAATATTGCTGATATATCAATATCGGGCTTTTTCAATGACAGCCATTAGCCCCACCTAAATATCCCCTTAAAAAGAAACTGCAGCAAAGTTTATACCTTTTGGGTTAAAAATTGTCTCAGTACAGGTCACTCCAGGCACATTTACTTGTATAAGGAAACTAGCAGACTTTAAAATAATTCTTCAGAAACTTCCATGCCAAGTGCTTTAAAATATGATATGTATCTTTACCTCCCAGTCAGTTCAAAGCATTGAATGGATTTCAGGCTTCGGTCTTTTAAATGTTTGTTGGTATTTCTTAATATTTAAAGGAGTAATTAAATTACCCAGTTTTGTTTTAGCCTTTGTTTTTGTTTGTTTCTTTTTTGGTTGGGTTTAACATCACACCAACAGAGTTAAAGTCATATGATGACTTTACTGATTGAGGAAGACCTCTGGTTCCCTTCTGTGCATTACTTCAGGCACAAATCGGCATCTGAGTTGAACCATCCATGTTCCGTAAGCTAGCTTGTGAGATTCGAACCAACAGTGGTGAGTGGCAAGTGGTTTGAAGTCAACAATCATAACCACTCGGCCACAGACGCCCCACAGTTTTGGCCTTGAAATCAACCAAAATAAAAATCACTGTTAATTCTGTAATGTTCCAGTTTTTTTTTTAAGTGAGAAGTGAACATATGTTGTATACAGTTCTGTTTTATAATAACTTTTATTTTACAGTACAGTTCATTCAGCAGAAATCAAAAAGCGGCAAATATATTGAGGATCCTTATGTAGAAAAATATATGATCAATTATTTACAAGCTATATCTAAGGAAAATGGAAAGAAATTTCTTGACGGCCTAGACAGTCATCTGTTGGAAAGAAAAAGACAACTAGAAGTTCTGTATGCTATTAGAGTGGCTGAGGGTATTGAAAATGTATGTATATTATCTAGATTTACAATCTGATTTGCAGTAAATCATAGAGTTAAATAGCATAATGAAAACTACATTACAGAATTAATTAAACTGTGCATGATCTTAAAATAAATGTATGATAACAGAGAAATTTAGATGAAAAGAATATAAGAAAATGGGGGTGTGGGGGGATATCATCCTTGTTTTGGAGTTATCTGCTCTTGATCAACTTGAACATTGCTTATTTCAAGGGCAAATAATCAAGATTAGCACGGCTTTATTTTGTTCTAATTTTCATGTAGCTTACTTCCTCTCAAGTGATTGTGTAAAATTTCATGATTTGTTATTAATAGTTTGTTTATTTTTTTTCTTTATTTAAAGCTATGCAAATTAAAGAAAAAAAATGACCTATTTTAAAACAATTTTCATTCTCAAAATTAGATTTTTATCGAAATTCCATGAAATTTTGTACTGCAACCAAGGATAAATGAAAAACTTGAATAAGTGGTTAAATTAATGTTTGTCTGACATTTATGTGCAAGTTATCTGCCCTTGCAATTACCTGAAATAAAAAAAATAAGGTTACTTGGAGGGAAAACAATGTTGATGACCCGCAATATTTTTGAGTTTTTGTTTGTTTCAAATGTTTTATCACCATATATTTAGATCATGAAAAGTAAAAGTAAATAGAGGATATTCAAGTTTTTTTCTATAAATACATGATTTATTTTCATCGAGTGGTATGAAAATAAATATTTCATGAGTGGCGGTAGCCATGAGTGAAATATGGTAATTTTCATGCCACAAGATGAAAATAAATCATGTATTTATAGAAAAAACTTGAATTTTCTGTTTATTATATACATTTTTCTGTTTTTTTTGCGATAAAATTTGAAATACTTTTCCTTAAATTTTGTGTACTGACAGAATTTAAAAGAAAGTAGTCCGGCAAGACACCAGTGAAAATACGGAAAATATGTTTCACTGCAGTGAAAAATAAATTTTTACAGTGAAAATACGGAAAATGAAAATATGCATTTTATTTCATCAATATTTCTCAATATTTCATTTATAAGTATATAATAAATGCTGTTTTTTATTTATTTTCATATGTAACTGAAACATGTGCCTTTTTTTATGTTGCACAATTTACACATTTTCTTTCTCAATTTTCTTTTTCTACTGGTATCCTAATTGAACAATCAATAGCTCAGATGTTCATGTTAACTTAGAGGGGCTGACCCTTTGTTGATGTTAGCAAAGAGGGGCAACTCAGATGAGCATCTGACAAAAATCATGGTATTAATTACCTCCCTTGACATAGTGAATGTATTGAATATGACTGTGTTTTGAAGTTCGGTGAATTCCAGTACTTTATTTTGGCATCACTTGGATAAATAAAAGCAACTATTTTCACTTGGATAAATAAAAGCAACTATTTTTATATAAATTGTATGAATTTACAAGAAGATGGTGTCATAAAGGGGACTCCACTGAGGTTTTTTTTTATGCTGAGGGGACTGAAAACATTTTTTTTAATGTTCAACAGTGATATAAACTTGAACAGTTGATATACATTTTGCTATGCGTCATAAGACCTTGACCTTATATTCAATATTGGCCATTAAAGTCAAGGGTGAAGGATAGACTTTTCAAGTTTTCATAATTTCATAAACAATGACATTTCTATATTTTAACAATATTTTTGTATATTTGTCCCGAAGCCTCAGTGTAGACAAGTGGAAATTTTCAAGAATTTTCTATATAAATATCATACAGACAAGTTAAGAAATGCTATAGATAAAAAAGGGGCATTGTTCAGTTTTTGTGTGCAAGTTGGTATCTCCACAACTCCAGTGAATTGGTTGGTAATTCACACACATATTTAAGAGCATAATACATGTGTGAGGTTATTGTTCAATCACTACAATTCTAACATGGATTTTGACAAAATAACGGCCCTTTTTTGAACTAAGAAAATTCTATATTATCCAGGCTCTTGTTGTGACGCCTTGAGAAGGCGACATAAAGGAGTTACTTTTGTCAACCGCATCTGTGCTGGCGATGCCAACGGCATCCCCTAAGGCTTGACCAGACCATAAGTCAATCACTTTAAGTGGGATTGACTCCAAACTTTTTTATACATGCTTCTTTCAATGACTAGAACTGCAGTGCGCAAAGACTGTTACTCTGCGCTTCTAAATTTTTGAGTTATATTTCCCTTTGTTAATTTTCATACTTTATTTTTGTCCAGGCCATTTCTCCTAAACTTTTGTAAGATAAGGACTTGAAACTTCATAGGATGATAGATGTCATTTATAAAAAGTGCAGTGCACAAGAACCAACACTCTGCACTTCTTATTTTTTTGAGTTATTGCCCTTTGTTAATGTTCATTCTTTATTCTTGTATGTGCTATTTCTCCTAAACTATAAAAGCTTTGGACTTGAAACTTAATGGGTTGATACATCTCATTGAGAAGAAGTGCAGTGCATAAAAACCAGCATTCTGTACTTCATGATTTTAGAGTTATTGCCCTTTGTTGAGTATAATACTTTATTTTTGTCCCAGCCATTTCACCTAATCTACAAAAGCTATGGACTTGAAACTCCATAGGATGATGGATCTTATTGAAAAGAAGAGCAGTACACAAGAACCGGTACTCTGTTCTTCATGATTTATGAGTTATTGCCCTTTGTAAATTATTATACTTTATTTTTGTCAGGGCCAATTCTCATACACAATAAAAGTATTCAAGCTACATCAATCCTGATGTAACATTGTTACAATCAATTCAAATGCCACTAAAGTTCAAGGTACATTTACAATATAAGGGTTGTGTTTATGGATAACCTACATTTAAGAAGAATATGCCTAAGTTACAGCTATACTATTCACAAGGCGACACATCCAACTCGCAGAGTTCTTGTTTTACTATCAAGCACTGAGAATAGTTGAGCACGCTGTCCTACTGACAGCTCTTGTTTACTGTTTTTATTATGTCATCAAAAAGGTGAGGTACTTTACTTCTTAACTCTGTTATTAATTTGCTATTTTACTTTCCAGACTCCTTCAGAGCTAAGTGCACATGATTGGAGAGTGATTCTAACATCTGTAAAGACTAAGGAGGAATTTGATCGTTATTTGACAAAGGTGTTTATACGTCAGAAGAAAAGGCGATTGACTGTGGAAGCTAGAAATGAAGTATACAACAAATTACGTCGCCCATGTGATGAAGAAGATCTACAGATCATTCAGCGTATTTATTTTATGAAAAATCATTTATCCCATTGGAAGGGAATGCACTCTTTACTTCACGGGAGACCTGTTGTTCTAGATATGGACTATCAATCCGTTGATGAAGACGAAACCTTTGAAACAGCACGGCAAATTGAAAACATGTATAATTGTAACCTGGAGCATCGTCAGCCTTGTCATTTACATTTCACTAGTTTTCACAGGAATGAGATACTGGTTAGAATGCTAGAAATGAAAAGAAACATGTTTGTTGACTTTCACCAAGAAAGTTTTCACAAAGTTTTTCCGCGGGATCGTCTGTTCTATTTAGTTGCTGAAGGACCAGATATTTTACCTGAAGAGATAGACGATGATACAATTTTTGTACTTGGAGGCATAGGGGGTACCCATGTGCGGAAAAGGTCACTAAAAAGAGCAGTCTCGCTAGGTATCCCTTACGGATGTCTTCCGGCAGATCAATTTGTAAGGTAGGTGTCTTAAAACACTCCTCAGCTTATATTCATATAATCTCTACTTTGTCTGTCCGTCCATCAGTCGTAAAATATAAGACTGTTTCTTAGCAGCCAGTGGCTTCATACCAAGAGATGGGTCCACTACTACTGGTAGAAGACCATCAACAAGACACTTTTTGAACATTTTTCCATACAGATTTCATAAATTTTAAGTAAGAGATCTGAAACTTTGTTCAGTACAGCCAGGGTATTCTCCTAACTAAAAATCTAGTTTGTTTATTTCTGAATATGTTGACACTTATATCTAAGGCTTATCAAGGAGGGTATCAAAAATGCTTATATTGTCCACACATGGCATTGATTTAATTATGCCCCCCTTTGAAGAAGAGGGGGTATATTGTTTTGCTAATGTCGGTCTGTTTGTCGGTCTGTCGGTCTGTCCGTCGGTAGACCACATGGTTTCCGCTGATTATCTTGAAAAGTATTAATCACAAAGACTTCATATTTCACATAGTGATTGGTCATCACTAGTAGATGACCCCTATTGATTTTGGGGTCACTAGGTGAAAGGTCAAGGTCACAGGGGCCTTAAATGTCAAAATGGTTTTCGCTGATTATCTTGAAAAGTATGTATCACAAAGTCTGCATATTTCACATAGTGATTGGTCATAACTAGTAAATGACCCCTATCGATTTTGGGGTCACTAGGTCAAAGGTCAAGGTCACAGGGACCTTAAAATTTCAAAATGGTTTCCGCTGATTATCTTGAAAAGTATTTATCACAAAGTCTTCATATTTCACATAGTAATTGGTCATAACTACTAGATGACCCCTATTAATTTTGGGGTCACTAGGTCAAAGGTCAAGGTCACATGGACCTTAAATGTCAAAATGTTTTCCGCTGAATATCTTGAAAAGTATGTATCACAAAGTCTTCATATTTCACACAGTGATTGGTCTTAACTAGTAGATGACCCCTATTGATTTTGGGGTCACTAGGTCAAAGGTCAAGGTCTAAGGGGCTTTAAATGTCAAAATGGTTTCCGCTGATTATCTTGAAAAGTATGTATCACAAAGTCTTCATATTTCACATAGTGATTGGTCATCACTAGTAGATGACCCCTTTTGATTTTCGGGTCACGACGTCAAAGGTCAAGGTCACAGGGACCTTAAATATCAAAATGGTTTCCGCTGATTATCTTGAAAAGTATGTATCAAAAAGTCTTCATGTTTCACACAGTGATTGGTCATAACTATTAGATGACCCCTATTGATTTTCGGGTCACTAGGTCAAAGGTCAAGGTCACAGGGGCTTTAAATGTCAAAATGGTTTCCGCTGATTATCTTGAAAAGTATGTATCACAAAGTCTTCATATTTCACATAGTGATTGGTCATCACTAGTAGATGACCCCTATTGATTTTGGGGTCACTAGGTCAAAGGTCAAGGTCACAAGGGCCTTAAATGTCAAAATGGTTTCCGCTGATTATCTTGAAAAATATGTATCACAAAGTCTTCATATTTCACATAGTGATTGGTCATCACTAGTAGATGACCCCTATTGATTTTGGGGTCACTACGTCAAAGGTCAAGGTCACAGGGACCTTAAAATGTCAAAATGGTATCCGCATGTACCCATTTTTGGCAAGTTTATGTAGTAAAATTATCAATTATGTGAGTCAATGGCTAGAAAGGGGGGTATATTTGTTGTTCGACATTCTTGTTCTATAAAAGCTTGTGTGTTTCAATTTTTATTGTTAACACAATATACAATATTTCAGCAGCAAATGCTGAAGTTTAGGGTATTTTACTCTTTACTCTGCAAATAATTATAGCTAATATAAGAGGTCAGATATTGACTCTTGACGGTCAAATTTTCAAAGACAACATTCTTGAAATAGACATTAAGATATTACCATTTATGCAGGTTGAAATAAATCTAATTAGAAGAAACATGCATTTACTATTGATAAAAAAGCAACTGATAGATCGACAACCACTGAACAAAGAAAAAAAGACTAAATCAGGCATTTTCAGGGCTGTTGTCTGGTTTTGATGGTCCCCAACCAGAATAGGTTTTTTTCCTGTCCCCTTGGCGCATATATTGCATCCAATTTTCCTCAGTAATGTGGATGGTCTTCTAACTTTGAGTAAAGTTTAAGGTCACTGGTGCTAAATATAGATTTTTTTTCACTTTTGGTCATACAGCTTTTATTGTGTCGCCTTGAAAAGGCGACATATAAAGGGTTACATTTGTGGCGTTATCAGCGGTGGCAGCCCCTAAGGCTTGTCTGGGGCATAACTCAGTCACTATGAGTCATATTGACTCCAAATTTAGTATGCATGCTTCTGTCAGTGAACCGAAGTCCAGTGCACAAAATTCGTTACTCTGCGCTTCTTAATTTTTTAGTTATTGCCCTTTGTTTATTTTCATACTTTATTTTTGTCTGGGTCATTTCCCTTAAACAATATAATTTATGGACTTGAAACTTCATAGGATGATAGGTCTTATTGAGAAGAAGTGCAGTGCACAAAAGAGTGGTGCTTATAAATAACCTATATTTAAGAAGAAAATGCCTAAGTGACAGCTATACTGTTCACAAGAGGACACATCCGACTCATGGAGCTCTAGTTTAATTTTTAGAATATGATGCATTGGCAATGATCCTCAAAATGGTTGCCAGGGGAAGTAATAATTGCTTTGAGAAAAGCATTATATTTTTAAATGTTATCTCTGTGACTTATCATAATGGTTACATGTTCTGAACTCACTATATGTCAAATTATTGCGGCATATGTAACATTATAATATCATTCTATTTTCCTTTTTATTTTAGGCGGAAAGCAAGAAGTTCTAGGGTATTTTACTTACAGACTGTTCTAAATATCATGCTAGACAAATTCGCTGGCGATCCATGGAAGTTAGCTTTTGAAAGACATCTACCGGATGACAAGTATCAAAAATTTCCGGATTTAGAAAAACCTTTAGAAGATGCAAAAGCCATAGAATCTTATGTACAGTTTCAACAATTATACAAAATTCTTGACAAATGATGTCTATGCTGATACTGGTATTATTACAGAGTAGTAAGAAGGTTAATTGCTGGGAATTAAACATGTACCATTGGTAAACAAGCGGTTTTTCCCGATTTCTCAAGAACAGCACAAGTCAAAGTGAATATATACAGTGTACGTTTATAAATTCACAGGAAAGAAGGTGACATGTGCCTGTAACCGCAAAACATCATACAGCGATTTTTTTTATCCACTGTGTATTGTCCATACATAATTATGTATGTTCGTCATTCAACTCTGTGTTTAGGATGTCAAATCTGCTGTGTTTACAAGGTACATTCGTATATCGCTTGCAAAAAGATCACATTGCGTCAAAAATTAGCAAACAAACAATGGGTTACACCGTCTTCTCTAATTAAGCTGGAAAGCCTGTCATTTAGTTTACTGTTAACTCCTTGCTAATAAAAGTTATTAATTTGTAATTAACAGCTTTAATGTTGGTATTAGATAATTAACAGCGTTAATGCTGTTGTTATAATGTTTTTTACGATACTGACTTCTGACTTATTCTTTTTAGCTCACCTGTCACAAAGTGACAGGGTGAGCTTTTGTGATCGCTTTTCATCCGGCGTCCGTCCGTCCGGTATCTGTAAACTTTTACTTTAAATGACATCTCCTCATAAACCACTAAGCCAATTTCATCCAAACTTCACAGGAATGTTCCTTTGGTGGTCACCTTTGAAAATTGTTCAAAGAATTTAATTCCATGCAGAACTCTGGTTGCCATTGCAACCAAATGAAAAAACTTTAAATATCTTCTTCTAAAAACCCAAAGAGCTAGAGCTTAGATTTTTGGCATGAAACATCTTCTAGTGAGTGTCTACCAAGTTTGTTTAAATAAAAGCCCATCGGTCAAAATTGGCCCCGCCCCAGGGGGTCATTGATTTTCCCTATATTGCATATAGTAAAAACTTAAAAAATCTTCTTTTAAAGAACCCAAAGAGCTAGAGCTAAGATATTTAGCATGAAACATCTTCTAATGGGTGTCGTCTACCAAGTTTGTTCAAATAAGAGCCCTGGTGTCAAAATTGGCCCCGTTCCTAGGGTCATTGATTTTTATATGCCCGAAAGGGCATATTATGTTATACCCCCTGGCGTCCGTCCGGCCGAGCTCACTGAAATGACGATGTGGGGTGAATATCCATGTTCAATCGGGATAGAGGAAAAAGGTTGCTTATGGGGTGCAAATACGTTGCTTATGTGGTTTTAGAGATCAAAGGAGATCAAAGAAAAAACCCCATAATGTCAACTCAGTAGGAACGTCCGTCCGTACGTCCGTCCGTTAGCAATTTGGTTTCCGGAGCATAACTTAAGTTCCATTTGGCCCACAATGTTCAAACTTCATAGGATGATTGCCCATATTGGGTAGAAGACTCCTATTGATTTTGGGGTCAAAAGGTCAAAGGTCAAGGTCACTATGACCTTAAAACTGAAAACAGTTTCCGGAGCATAACTTAACTTCCAGTTGACACACAATATTCAAACTTCATAGGATGATTGTCCATATTTGGTAGAAGACCCCTATCGATTTTGGGGTCACAAGGTCAAAGGTCAAGGTGACTATGACCTTAAAACTGAAAACAGTTTCCGGAGCATAACTTAAGTTCCAATTGACCCACAATGTTCAAACTTCATAGGATGATTGTCCATATTGGATAGAAGACCCCTATTGATTTTGGGGTCACAAGGTCAAAGGTCAAGGTCACTATTACCTTGAAACTGGAAACAGTTTCCAGAGCATAACTTAAGTTCCATTTGGCCCACAGTGTTCAAACTTCATAGGATGATTGTCCATATTGGGTAGAAGACTCCTATTGATTTTGGGGTCAAAAGGTCAAGGGTCAAAGTTACTATATCCTTAAAACTGAAATAGTATTTGGAGCATAACTTAAGTTCCATTTGGCCCACAATATTCAAACTTCATAGGATGATTGTCCATATTGGGTAAAAGACCCCTATTGATTTTGGGGTCAAAAGGTCAAAGGTCAAGGTCACAATTACCTTAAAACCAAAAACAGTTTCCGGAGCATAACGTAAGTTCCATTTGGCCCACAATATTCAAACTTCATAGGATGATTATCCATATTCAATAGAAGACCCCTATTGATTTTGGGGTCACAAGGTCAAAGTCACTTTTACCTTAATACTGAAAACAGTTTCTAGAGCATAATGCGAAAGGTCAAAGGTAAGGGTCATTATTAATAACTTAAGTATTAATCAACCTACAGCTGTAAAATTTTATAGCATGAACAGCGAATTCCATGTCTTACAAATGCTTCATCCTTACTAAAAAAAAAAAACACTTTCGGGCATATAATGCTCCGCCTAGAGGTGCTCTTGTTCTTATGTGTATAGCAAAAACTTAAAAAATCTTCTGTGGGAAAACCAAATAGCTAGAGTTTAGATACTAAACATGAAACATCTTCTAGTGACTGTCTACAAAGTTTGTTCAAATAAAAGCCCTGGGGTCAAAATTGGCCCGCCCCGGGGGTCATTCATTTTCCTTATGTGTATAGCAAAAACTTAAAAAATCTTCTTTGAAAAACTCAAATAGCTAGAGTTTAGATATTAAGCACGAAGCATCTTCTAGTGAGTGTCTACAAAGTTTGTTCAAATAAAGCCCTGGGGTCAAAATTGGCCCCGCCCTGGGGGACATTGATTTTCCTTATAATATTTATGTGTATAGCAAAAACTTAAAAATCTTCTTTGAAAAAACCCGAAAAGCTAGAGTTTAGATATTAAGCATGAAACATTTTCTAGTAAGTGTCTACAAAGATTGTTCAAATAAAAGCCCAGGGGCCAAAACTGGCTCTGCCCCAGGTGTGTCATTGTTTTTAACTATATTTGTAAAGAAAAAACTTTTAAAAAGCCCAACGAGCTAGACGTTAGATGTTTAGCATGAAACATCTTCTAAGAGGTGTCTACCAAGTTTGTTCAAATAAAAGCCCCGGGGTTTAAACTGGCCACGCTCCGGGGGCCTATATACAGGTGAGCGACTTAAGGGCCATCATGGCCCTCTTGTTCATTTTTGTAAGGTCTTATTAAAATTTATTGATCTATTTCAAGCTATAAAATCTGTGAAATATTTTATTTCATAAAGTTGAAAAATTTGTTTTAATGTTAAAAAAAATTATCAACAGGTTTATCACTGTTATAGATCAAGCAGTGTCATGCAGAGTCTTTGGAATCTTTAATGTTAGTGAATGTCGGTGGTTCCTCTCGGGCCTGAAATAACACACCAGTCAAACAGGAAAGTCGCCATATGACCTATGCTGTGTTTGTGTGACGTAAAACACAATAAAATAATAAATAGAAATAACTGTCTAAACACAAGTGTTAATCAATGCTCAAGTACAGTTGAAACTTATCATAATTTAAGGTCAAGACCCATAATTTTGGAATGGACTTTGCTCTAAAAGGTGACCTACAACTCTAGCATGAATTCAAAAATTACAACACTGTCCTGTACTTTTGAATAAGGTCTAAATTTTAAAATTTTGTAATGTCACAAGTTAAATGCTGGACAATCCTTAGTTAATGACAGAATATGTTTAAATACTTTCAAGTTTTAATTTATTGGCAATGGGCAATACATTTGCCTTCAGCCATTAACAGACACAAAAACAACTTATGACATAGACATGACATGACATAGGCATTTGTGATCGCTTTTCATCCGGCGTCCGTCCGTAAACTTTTACTTTAAAGGACATCTCCTTATAAACCGCTAAGCCAATTTCATCCAAACTTCACAGGAATGTTCCTTAGATAGTCAAGTTTAAAAATTGTTCAAATAATTTAATTCCAAGCAGAAGTCTGGTTCCCATGGCAACTTAAAATATCTTCTTTTAGCAAACCGAAAGAGCTAGAGCTTGAATATTTGGCATGAAACATCATCTAGTCAGTGTCTACCAAGTTTGTTAAAATAAATGCCCTTTGACAAACTTGGCCCCGCCCCCAGGGGGGGGGGGTCATTGAATTTTCTTTTTTGTATATAGTAAAAACTTAAAAATCTTCTTTTAAAAAAAAAAAGCTAGAGCTTAGATATTAAGTGTGAAACATCTTCTAGTGGTTGTCTTCCAAGTTTGTTTAAATAAAAATCCTGGGGTCAAAATTGGCCCCGCTCCAGGGACTCATTTTTTTCCCCTCTATGTATATAGTAAAAACTTAAAAAATCTTCTTTTAAAAACCCCAAAGAGCTTAAGAGCTAAGATATTTAACATGAAACATCAACTTATGGGTGTCTACCAAGTTTGTTCAAATAAAGGCCCTTGGGTTAAAATTGGCCCAGCCCCAGGGGACAATTGATAAACTTTTGTGTATAGTAAAAACTTAAAAAATCTTCTTATAAAAAACCCAAAACACAAGTTTCTTATAAAAAACCCAAAACACAAGTTTAGATACTAAGCATGAAATATCTTCTAGTGAGTGTCTACCAAATTTGTTCAACTAAAATCCCTGGGGTCAAAATTGGCCCCTCCCAGGGGGGGGGTCATTGTTTTTCCCTATATGCATATAAGTAAAAACTTAAAGAATCTTCTGATAAAAACCCCAAAGAGCTAGAGCTTAGATATTTATCATGAAACATCTTCTAATGGGTGTCTACGAAGTTTGTTAAAATAAAAGCTCCTGGTTTTAAATTGGCCTTGGCCTAGGGGCTTATATACAGGTGAGCGATTTCAGGGCCATCATTGCCCTCTTGTTTTTTGTTCTTGTTTTTTGCTCTTTAAATCGTATTTTGCAGTCGGCTACAGATGCAGACCAAGGTCAGCTGGCACATCAGTGCAGTCTAATCGTGGTCTGCACCGCACGCTATTCAGTCAGTACATAATTTGAAATTTTCACTCAAAATGGTATACGGTTTTTGCTAAGATTTAATGATGGACAAGGCCATTTAAGATATTAACCATGGTGAAAAAGAAGTTGGTAATCTGCAGCGGAATGTAAAATCTGATCCGAATGCGATGAAACTTCAAGTATGCAGTTTTGATTAAATGAAAAATAAACCACAATTCTGATGTGTTGCAATTTAAAAGATCTTTGCAAGAACTCCCTATATTCCTGCTAATGGAATATACACGATGCAATAGTATTTTTTTTTCGCGAATATATATATATATATATATATATATATATATATATATATATATATATATATATATATATATATATATATATATATATACACATAGAGGTGCATAAGGGATGCGTTCATTTTGTATTTCTTTAATGTCATATATTTATAAATGCCTATCCATTCCCGTGATCGTAGTGTTTACGTTGGTATGGAAACATTTCTAACAATTATCATGCCCGTCTTTGTGGAGTAGGACTAGGCCTTTGTTATCTTATGGCGAATAAGAACCCTTCCTCAGGGAACGTTGTTCCTCGGTCAAAAGCAGGTGGTTAAAGGTGTTACTGTTGGAACTGTTAATGTAGCGGACTGGCGGGCGGTATGCACAAAAATTTGTGCAGCAGCATTTGTAAGTAGCTCTGAAAATCTGGTGGGTACCTCATTGATAACGAGTTTTTTAAAGAGACACTGCCCCTAAAATATGATTATCCCCCTTGATGAACTTTGTCTGCAAGCTATGGAAATTAGTGAGAGATCATTCCCAGTTTACACTTAAACAAATATACCACAAACGGCTGTTGTCCAGTTTATCAGAAGACCACCCCGATATATATGTTAAAATATTTCTTTCCAAACCGTTTCACCTTGCGGATCCAAAAGCAGCTAATATTGAAATTAAACTGCGAAGAATCATCAGTATTGGTTTAAACATATTTTATTCTTTCTCACATAAGCATATTTACATACATGATATTTACAATCAAAACAAGAAAAGGATT